GTGAATTATCTTCAGTAGTTACTAAAATATCGCAGTTTTCGTATTTCTGGAAATTACCGTTATATGGGAAGTGGGCGTGGCTAAAGTCCGATTTCGCCCATTTTCAATACCAACCTACCTTGGGTTAAGGGAAACCTACATACCAAATTTCGTTGAGATATCTAAATTTTTGCTCGAGTTATCGTGTACACGGACGGACGGACAGACGGACAGACGGACAGACAGACATGGCTTAATCGATTTCTTTTTTCATCCTGATCATTTATGTATACATTTGTCTATATCTATCTCGATTCGTTTTGGCTATTACAAACAACCGTTATGTGAACAAAATTAATATACCCTTGTGCACAAGTGCGCTCGGGTATAAAAATCCATTTCCTATGCCGATTATGGAGGAACAGTTTGCTCAGCTTGCAGGAAATAAGTATTTCACCTCTTTGGACCTACGAATGGGGTACCATCAAATTGAAATTGAGGAAGAATCGAAGAGGTATACTGCATTTGTCACGACGGATGGCCACTTCGAATATAACCGATTGCCTTTCGGGTTGGTCAACGCATCTGCCGTATTTCAAGAGGTTATGAAGAAGATTGCATCAAAGATGAATCCAGTCTTGGTATATCTCGACGATATAATAATACCGAGAAAGACTGTGGAAGAAGGAGTAGAGCGATTCGATAAATTTTTACGTTTATTAAAGGCAAGCAACCTAACTTTACGTTTTTCCAAATGCAAGTTCTTGGCCACTGAACTGGTATATCTTGGCCATGTTATAAATGAACATGGCATCGCACTGGGAGACAGGAAGGTTTCTGCTATAAGAAATTTTCCTACACCCACGTCCGTCACAGAGGTACGCTGCTTTCTAGGATTGACTGGGTTTTTCCGTAAATTTGTGCAAGACTACTCACTTATCTCCAAACCAATAACATCTTTACTGCGAAAAGAAGAAATAAAGTTCACTTGGGGTCCAGAGCAGGATAAATCTTTTGAAAAGCTAAAAGATATTCTCTGCAAAGGTCCTGTATTGGCATTGTATGATCGCTCCGCTGACCATGAGGTACATACCGATGCGAGCAGTGTTGGGCTGGCTGTAGTATTGTTGCAATCCGTCGACGGCAAAACTTGGCAGGCAGTGTTCTACTACAGTCGTCATTGTACAGAGGCAGAAAGAAATTACCACAGTTATGAGCTCGAAACCTTGGCCGCGGTTGAAACACTAGAACGTTTCCGAATTTATCTGCTGGGAAAGCATTTCCGTCTAATAACCGACTGTTCTGCGATCGCACGTGTAAAGGAAAACAAAGAACTAAAATCGGAAATTGCTAGATGGTGGTTAAAACTGCTCGAATATGATTTCGATACTGTGCATCGTCAAGGGATTCGGCTTGCTCACGTCGAAGCCTTGAGTCGATCTCCAAACGAGGCCCCAATCACAGTCGAACCAGCTGGACTTGTTATGTGGGTAAAAGCGAATACTGATGATTGGTTATTCACCATGCAGCTGCAAGATGAATCCTTGCGGAATATAATTGCAGTACTAAATGGCGAGGTGAAATCTTCACAAGACAAACTACTGAAATCCGATATCTGTTAAAAAACCATCGATTATATCGACGATCAAATGAGGGCTGCTTGTTTGTTGTCCCTAAGTCTGTCAGATGGAGAGTCGTGCAACTTTTCCATGACGATTGTGGACACTTTGCAATAGACAAAACGATCCAGCGTATTGAACGGCATTTTTGGTTCCCTAAGATGCGAAAGTATGTGAAGGATTACATAGCTGCGTGTGTGAAATGTTGTTATTATAAGGCACACGGAGGCAAAGCTGAGGGTCGTCTCCATTATGACAACGTCGAGCCAGTTTCATTTAGACTGGTGCACATTGACCATCTAGGGCCGCTCGTAAAAAGTAAACGAGGGAATTGTCATGTTTTGGCTATCTCCGATGCCTTCTCCAAGTTTTTAGTTGCGAAGGCGGTACGTAACACCAAAACTACACCGGTTCTCAATGTCTTAAATGAAATGTCGAGCTATTTTGGGCTTCCGCCCGTAATAGTTAGCGATAGAGGTACGGCATTCACATCCAAACAGTTCGAGGATTACTGCGGCACAAATAATATGCATCATATCAAGACTGCTGTGCGAACCCCTCGTGCGAACGGTCAAATAGAAAGGGCCAACCAACAAATACTAACTTTTCTTCGTACTACGTCAGATAATCCCAAGGATTGGGATCTGGAACTACGAAATCTGCACTGGGCTATCAATTCCCAAAAGAATTCAATCACAGGGTTTTGTCCGAATGAGCTCGTCTTTGATTTCAAACTTCGCGACGTCATACAAAACCAACTTTTAGCTGCAATACACAACGACAATACCCCGCCACAACCTTCACCTCCCATTACTGAAAAACGAGAACAAGCAGTTAAAAACATCGCCGCCGAGGGGAACGGTGAAAGCAGCGCTTTGTCGGAAAACACAGTATGACAACTACCTATAGCGAGGGTGACTTAGAAGTCATCGAAAACGAGCCAATAGCCACCGGGGAATCTAGAAAACTCGAACCAAAATATCGCGGTCCGTACATAATAACTAAAGCTTTGGGTAAAGACCGATATCAACTGGAAGACATCCCAGGAATGCAGATAACAGCCAGACGGTTCAGTTCTGTTTTATGCTTCGATAAAATGAAGCCGTGGTATCATAGCTGTCCAGATCTTGATCCTTACGAAATCGCGGACGATTTAGAGCAGGAAGGGCCGAGTTGTCACGATGCGATATAGACAGTATTAAGATAAGTCATTTGATAAGTCATTTATATCCTTTAAAATACAACTCTGTTGTTCAAATGAATTGTTTCCTTTAAAAAAAGTATAACTCTATTACAAAAGAAAGAAAGACAAGAAAATGTAAGAAAAAGAAAGAAAACGAGAGGAGTATCGGCATGTCGATGTAAAAGAAGAGACATGTTTTCCAGAAAAATTAATAAATTTGAGTTTCTGTCGAATTAAATAAATCAAATCGGCCAAAAAATTTTATTTGTAATTACGGTCACCGAAGGTGACACTTTTAACTGCCGACTCTCATAAGCCACCCATGCGCGTGGCGCTGGGAAGGATAAATTGCCAATTAATACCCTGGGGTGAGTATTTTTGGACAACATCACGGGATACCATTTAGAGAAAGACAGAGAACTCTTTTTCAGTGGCTCTTTTGGCTCCTCTAAAAGTTTTGCCATTGTCAATCATCATTTTAGCGGGGTAACCACGGCGACCAACAAAACGAGCAAAGGCGGCGAGAAATGCCTCTTTGGTCAGGTCTGAGCATAGCTCGAGGTGTACCGCCTTTGTTGTGAAGCACACAAAGACGGCCACATAGCCTTTCACTAAAGCGGGGGATCTTTGCATGGAGGCTTTTATTTAAAAAAGCCCAGCAAAATCGACACCGGTGGTGGTGAAGGGCGAAGCGAAGGTGCATCGTTCGGGCGGCAGGGCAGCCATAATCTGCGAGCGCATTTGCTGTTTGTGAATGGTGCATGATTTACATTGATAAATGCATTTTTTGATGAGGGGTTTGAGCCGGGGAATGTAAAATTGTTGCCTGGTCATCTGCTGCATAAGTCGTACTTCTGCATGGAGGAGTAGATCATGGAGAAACTTTAGATAGAGGAATGCGAATCGGGACTTTTTCGGAATTATAATGGAGTGACGTTCGTTATAGCTCAGGGTAGCATGAGCAAGGCGTCCATTGACGCGGAGAACTACATTTTTATCCAAGAAGGGGTTAAGAACTAATAGTGAACTCTTTTTGTCAATGGGTTTTGAGTCTTCCAAGCGGGCCCTTTCATAGGAGAAATGACGGGTTTTCGTGATTATAATCAGACGAATTTTTGCGTAGCGGAGATCATCATGTGATAGCGGGGATGATGCTCGGTCATGAGCTCCTGGCGCTTTGTCGCTTAGTCGTCTGATGAACTTGAAGACGTAGGCCATCCCTTTTAAGACTCGAGAGAAAGAGGAAAACCTGTCCAGAACGTCGGGATCTTCTTCGGTGGTGAGTAATGCCTGCACTCTTCGCACTTCCTGCGGGTTGACATTTCGAACTGGGGGTTTTGGCCATTCTTCGGGGGGCTTGGATAGCCAATCAGGACCGTTCCACCATAACGAAGACGCTGCTAGGTCTAGTGACTTGCAACCTCTTGTGCCCATATCTGCGGGGTTGTCGCTGCTGCGTACATGTCGCCAGGTGGCGTTTCCGACGAGTTCCAAGATCTCCGCGGTCCGATTCGAGACGAACGTTTTCCAAGAGTGGGGTGGTTTTTCCAGCCATGCCAATACAATTTCAGAGTCAGACCATAGTACCAGTTTTCTTTGAGAGAGGTCGAGATGGGACTGGACAGCTGCGACAAGTTTGGCTAAGAGAAGAGCTCCGCAGAGCTCAAGCCGCGGTAAACTAGTTGTTCGAAGGGTGCTACCTTGCCTTTGGAAACCAGAAGATGG